ATTCAGCCTCTGTCACACTCTGTGGATCAGAAACAACCTGGTGAAATATTGAAGAAGATGTACAGAAAAAAATTGCCAGGTATGAAAGAAATCAAAAATTCAATAAAGAAKTTGGGAAGAGAGAGAGGAAATAATTAAATATAACAGGAGGAAAGGGGCGTCTCTAGGCAAATATCCGGAACAGTGTTGTTTCCAYTYGTGACGTCACGTTCCAGCCTTCTGATTATCAAAATAATGCCAATTTTGAAGGCAGATATGACGTATAGAAAACTCAAAATATTCTTATTACGACGACTTTCTGTCTTGATTTAACAAGTGTGATAAATGGACTATGATATTAAACTTTACAGGGCATCGTGGCGCGCTTATTTTGCTAGCTGAAAAAGAAATGCTGGTAAAATTATATTTTAGCTCACTGGCATCAGCCAATCCGAAACAAGGAAAATAAAATATATCCAGTCAATAAGGTGAGAGAAACCACTCAAATGTTAATTAACTTGACAATGTTTTTCGCTGGATTGCGTTTTTGCATCTCTCTCGGGCGTTGCTCACCAAATTACTGAATCAAAATGACAGCAGAATCAATAGAAGAGCGTCTAGAAGAGCAAAATTTGCAGTTATCAGAGCTAGGGGAAGAAAGTCTTAAGAAACTCGAAGAGGAATCGGTTGATAGTAATAACAGAGAGTGATAGATAATAGTGGAAGCAACACAGTTCTCAGCCGTGCTATTTTTTCCCCAACCATCGCATGTTGCAATATTGTTTTTAATGCACCCAAACCTAGCATCCTATCCCCCCCCCTCCCCCCTTAAGTTCATACAAAATGATAGACTATACATAGGCTTTATTTAGCACGCGTACGGGCTCGACAAAATATTCGGCGGACTCGTAAAAGCATCCGGCCGTATTACATCGCTTTTTCCAATAATCTATGCTCTTAAAAAATGTATTGTGTTGTGTTTTGATAAATTATTTTATTAACTTTGCCCTCTCATTTGTAATTACATTCAAATGATAAGCGTTATTCAAAGTGATCTAATCAGAAGGCTTGGGATRCATAAAAAACTAGGACTGCGCCAGACCAAAATGTTTACCAAGGCAAAAAAGCGGCGAAGGCCGAGCAACTAGAACTACTAACTGGGGGGGGGATGCTACGTCACTTATGGAAACAGCACTGTCCTGTAATGCAAGGCCGAAAACAATAGAGACGTCCCCCTTCTGTTTATGAATAATATTATTGAACTATGAAAATAAAGGAACAAAGAAAGAAGAAAACAAGGGAACAAAAAAAGAAAGGAAAAGACATCGAAGAAGTGAATAGAAGAGAATAGGAAAAAAAAAGGTGGTATATAACATGGGATATAAATAGTTGCATTAATATTGTTGTTCGCCAGATACATCAGGTGCAAGCGTCGTTACCGAAGGGAGTGAGCCTTCTCCTTCAAACTCTCAGTCATTGCACTTCCCATCCGACATCGGTGGTATAGAAAACCAAGGTTTCAGCTCGTCGGATATCAGACTKCAGGTGATATTAATATATAGATCTTATTAGACAGTTGAGAGCATCAAGCTTGATTCGGAAAAAAAAAGTTTCAAAACAAAAATATCTAAATGAATGCACTTTCTTCTTATTCCGATAGGAGTTGGGTTTCAGAAATGACAGATCAACAAATCTAAGCATTTAATGGCTCACCATGCACGGCTTTGGATCGAACAAGATAAAAAARAWAAGCCCTTTCTTTAAACACGATGTAAATATTGTAGATGGCTCATAGGTCATCAGAAAAGTTTGTAGAATAAGATGTTTTCAGTGCTGCTTGCATAGTTATCAAAGTGTTATTAAAGATTTCATTTGTGTTTCTTCAAGCATATTTTTTTCTCGGAAAATATGCTTGAAGAAACATAAATAAAATCTTTCATTTGTAGAATAAGATGTGACAAAACAACAAGAGGAAATTGATCAAAAAGACAAACTCACTTTGTAATATGGCCCTAAATCACTTTGACTTTTGAACTTTTGACATTTTTGATTTTGAATTTTTTTTTGTCCGCACCCGGGCCGGCCACCATATTTCTTTAAYAAGCTGGCGTTTACACTGCTGTGGCTGTCGTTTAATTCAGTACAACTGAGAATTAAAAAGGGGTTATCCGAAATATAACAAACAAACAAAAAATATTTTCATATTTTATGTTTGTTATATTGCCAAGGGGCAGCTATGGTTGAAGATATTCAGTATTTGATATCATAGGACAAATGACGGATACAAAGTTTTATTAAATTTCCGGATACGTGTGGACGGGGCCTAATAAACTGAAATGAAAGATCAAATGAACATAAAGYGTGTTAAGGATCCCAACTGGTAARGAGGCTATTAAAAAGCATGGTCRAGAAACTGAATCTGAACTAATCAGGAATCAGAACGAATACAGTCTCAGCTAGTGGCCACAGCGGGGCTCAAACCCGGCACCACCGGATTGCGAGACCGACTATGACCACTCGGCCATGCTGCCTCCCTCATTTAACGTATACTCCCTCYTATTACGGTCCTTTGGAGTCGTAAACAATGTCCGATAAGTGTTTGCATATTTAAGCGATCAATACAATAAAATCGTTAAATGCTTTGTCTTTTAATTTTGCTTCAAACTACAACGATGACGGTTGAAGACAATGATGACKCGATTCATCAATTACTTATACAATCTACTTTTTCCTCTCAAACTCTTTTCTAAATATACTAAATATTTATTCGAATATCCATACGCATTGAATTACTTAGTTAGTTAACCATCAAATGAGCCAAAAGATTCAGCTTGTTGTCACCACTGTAAGCAAAAACATGAAGTTTGACAACTGTACCAACTTCAATTTCTGCTGGAGCAGTCAGATGGACAGAGATGGGCCCTGGACGTTCATTTGTCACCAGTACGGAACTATCGACATATACCTCCACATTTGATGGAACTGCATGTGCCTCCACTAAGAACGTCTTGGATCCATCACTACCTGCATAGTCAATTTCAGCATGGAAAGACGATTCTGAACCTCGTTTGATGGAYAGGAGACTCTGGTGGATCTGAAAGCGGATGGTGGCGGTTTGCGGTTTTACTTCTTCACGTGACAGTCTCTGGAATGAGTTGCCCTCGTATGTCTTACCCGACAGGCGGACCCTAAAGGTTTCATCAGAAGGAAGGTCGAAGGTAGCCGTGTCTCCTTTGATCACCAAATTCTTGATGCTTGCTCCGTGTTCGTTGACAAGATCAGCTTTCAATGACGCCATGTTAAGACGTGAAATATGTGGCAGAAGAAGCTTCAACGTTGCTTTTTCGCCTTTAAAAAGGGGGTAAGTATAGTTAGTATGATAATTTTGATTCGTTGTCAAAAATTTAGTTTCTTTGCTGGCATTCTCTTTGACTCAACTAGCTTATTATCTATTTAATAATTTAGATAATTGACATTTGATACTWACCAATTAGTGGATTAGATATTGGAACAACCATTCCAGATGGATTCAAAGTCCTGACAAACATCTGGTCAAACTCAATGTTGGACAAATCACTGGCTTTGACCTGAGCAGAATACGGATAATAAAAAAAACATTAGCCTTTGCTTTTCATTAATATTTGTTCAGGCAYGCCAGCTGTTACACCCGACCATTATATGCATGTATAAAACTGTATGATAGTTATAATACCTCGTACGACAGTCCTCGAACAACTTCTGAGACAGACAATCTCCAGGTCCCTTTTCTTGGACTCTTGATTAACCAAAGCTTTCCTTGGTTCATATCTAAAGTATGATCTACGTTTAWACCACTGGAATCAACAAGGTTTACTAAATTCCAGAATGATTTTGCGGAGATGGAGACGATCAGATTTGCAACGCTTTCGTCGACTGGAAAAACAACATCACTTGATCCTCTTTTCCAAAAGTGAAAGAAATCCAGGTCGAGTTTTGTACTACTGCTTCTTCCAGATGAGATGATGGTAGAACCGTCCAGATCGGCTTTGACAAGGGCATCGGCACTACTGATAGCTGAWGCTTTCCGGAAAAATAGACCCAGACCTCCGGTATCTTCCATTATGGCACTGTAATCAGCACTATTTGCTGGATCACCACAACCCATGGTACTGAAGAAAAAGTTTACAGGCATCATRTAGTCCAGGGCATATCCAATGGCGTTATCTCTTGTGTAATCCCCCTTTTCCTTTGCAGGTGCATCAGTGAAGACATACATGGGAGAACTTGGTAGTGGACCTCCAACCGTGATAGCATCAATAATTCCATTGAATGTCAGCTCCTTGCAGTCACCTCCCCCATAAGCTCGAAGGTCATCGATAGCGGYCTCAAAGTGTGAACGACTTTCATATGTATATTTCGTGACAGGTCCAGAATCTATAATCAAATAAGGGCTTTATGTTCAAGATATTATATATCARTTTATAGAATGACTGTTATAAATGTCGCGTTCTGATTGGTTTGGAGCGCGTGCTTTATTAGAGGACATAGCACGCGCGCACACTTTCCGTTGCGTCATTCCTACTTATTGTAATTTGTATTTTATAAAAGAAATAAAAAACTTGCTTGCTGTGCTGCGTGCAGGCATAAAKCCCTTGGGGATTGGCAGAACACTCRAGAATAGTCCAGAAGYACTCCGCTACGCGTCGTGCTTCTCCTAACATTTCTCTCGTGTTCTGCCAACCCCCGCGTGCTTTATGACAGCACACAGCACGCGCGCGCGTTTTCTATTTCTTCAGYACATGGCACATTTGAGAATCAACCAATCAATATYGTTTCGCTTAAGTTATTCTAAACAGATATTGCGCTTTTCTATCATGTTTACAGCTGGTTTGCATGTTGTTAAGAGTTTACTTCATGTTTTGATATTCAGTCTTGTACAAGGCTTCTATACGCAATTCCCTAGTACAAGTCACTTGCAATCAATAGAACAGCTCTCRTGTGAGTATGAAAAGCTCGGTGCTTTATCTAGAATGTTAGAAATTTATGTTATCTGTAATATTGATCGGCTGATTTTTTCTCGCACAATGTGGTTGTATGGTACTGCCGTTACCTTGGCATGACCCATGTCCGCCCTGTAATTGATTGGATGGAGTGTAACGCTCGTGCAACAAGCTTAGTTTTTTTTTTGTCAGTCATAAAAAAACTTCTCTAAAAGATATGTGCTCCTYTTATGAACACAACCACAGCATGGGCACCAGATCCTCGACTCCCCTCCCCAGGTTCTCCCCTGTATATTGAACACTGGTCTCTCTTTTCATTTATGCGAGGAGATGATGGTGATGATGATAATGATGATGATGATGATGATGATGATGATGATGATGATGATGATGATGATGATGATGATGAGCTACTGGAGACTATTTGGTTTGCAAGGGTACAATGGGTGAGACATATACGGTCCACATCACGCAGGCACGTACAGTCAGATGCACAGTGGTTAGAGCATTCGACTAGTATCCGGTGGGTCATGGGTTCGATTCCCGTCTGGGGCTCAGATTGTTTTTCTGAGTCAGGCGTTGTTCCAAACCTTGTCTTCTTTCATAGGTTTCTCTACTCTATTCCTTTAATGCAGATAATGATAATGATAATAATTATAATTACAGTCACCAGCAAATGGTGATTTTCTCAAAGGTTGTGTTTGATCCAGTATATTTCTGATAATGATAATGATAATAATTATAATTACAGTCACCAGCAAATGGTGATTTTCTCAAAGGTTGTGTTTGATCCAGTATATTTCGTAATGGACTGTGAACACTATTTGATGAAGGCGCGTGATATAATTTCTCATCGTGTTATAATATTAAGACACGGTACCGTACCGCAACTATACTGTGAGGTTTTGAAAAAAATACCAAAATTTGCTCTAGTTTGAACTTTACCTGGATCATTGTATGGAGAAAGGATATAATTCACTTTYCCTTTTCTCTCGTAACTTGTGATGGCTCGTGCAATGGCTTTGGCTTGGTCGATTTCTTCCTTCATACTACCAGTGGTGTCAATGACAAACACGAGGGAAACATCTCCATCCACCGCTAGAAAATCCTAAATAAATAAAAAAGAGTTGCTTTGGAATTGGTTTTTCTTAGAGGGTAAGGAAGCATAGCCAAAATTCATCGTTTTAATCAAATCACCTTAAATTTATCTTGTCCAAGAGCATCCTTGATTTCTTTAATAATCTGATCAGCAGTACCATGACAATCGTCTTGMTTTTGCAAGATGAATCCCATCATTGTTCGTGCATAAGTGTATTCCTTGTGATTCATTGCTTTCTTTATCCTATCGATCATCTCATCTTYGTCAATTTCAACATCCTTTGGGATACCTTTAGCTGCTTCCATGCCTAACCAAAATGAACATATTTCAAGGTAAATTAATTTACCAACTGTATTCTAAAGAGACGGATACAAATTAAAATTAAGGTCCCACCTTTGACAACTTGGAAGAGAGCTCCCACCAAATGGTTATTAACCTCTACRCTTCCTKTAGGCAGAGCATCAAAGACATACTCTACRATATCATCAACGCTACAAGGTACTGCAGTAAATCRAATGTAAATTTGAGCGAATGAATAACAATAAACAATCCAATGGAATTAAACTGAAGATGGTCACTCACTTGGTTCACATTTGTTCACGTTGCATTTTTGTGTCTCTTCGGCAAGACCTGAACATGCTTTTCCACCATTAGCTGRTGGTGGRTTGGTGCAAGTACGAGTTCTCTTCTGTTCTCCTTCACCGCACTCCTTGCTACATTCGGACCAGTCCGAGTAAGCACTCCATCCACCGTTAACTGTTRTAGAAAATTGAAACTTATAATTGTTATATATCCTCTACTAAATACAGAGATTACTACATGAAAATACGCGCGTACGATTTTTACTCACAAGTTGCTTGGCATCATAACACGAACAAGCTAGTCTTCTAGCGGGTGAGTTTTATGATACCAAACAACGAGTGAATAGAAATCAGCACTTTTCATGTTGTAATTTATTTATTTATTTAGGTACTGAGATTTTCATACTAAACTGAATTGCATTTTGGAAGGCATTTGGGTGTTCTGATGCATTAAAAAGTAGCATAAATTTGCAAAGAGAGTAAGAGAGAGAAAGAGAGAAAGAGAAGAAATAATATCATTACCTCTATATAACTGGTACAACGAAATTGATTTTTATTCAACTCCCCTCAAATTTATAAAACGTTTTTAGCAATGCTGTTCAAATATTTTCCATAATGGTTAAAGACGGAAAAAGTTTTTGTAACAAGCAGAGAGAAAAGTTAGAACCTTCAACAACTATTATATTTATCACTAAAAGTGATTGTTGGAAATATACAGCTATTTCAAAAATGGTTGAATACTGAATACTGCAAACTGAAGAGTACAACCCAAGACCGAAGTGCATTGTGTGTCATAGTAACATTTTCTAAGGTAGGATTAATAATAATTAGTTATTCTATTTTTAGTGTATTCCATCTTAAACAATATACTAACTACATATAGAGAGTTAATTGCTGTATATTAATTTTTTATTTCAAATAAGCGAGACCCACAATGCCCTTTGGTCTTGGAATGCACTATTCAGTGTGCAGTATTCATATTCAACCTTTTTTTTTGAAATAGCTGTATACTAATTGTAAATCTATAGTAAATAGAGATTACTTCATAGGAATGCTTCGTAAAAAAGTCGGTTCGTATTCAAGTCCAGCTTTTGTGCGAACGGATTTGAAAAAACGCTCAAAATTGAATTTGCTCTTCAGAAGGTATTGCTTCAATATCCCTTTTATCGTTTTTAACGGCTTGAAGAAAAATCTTTAGCAAACTGTCATCTCTTTCTTTTGTCGGGTGTTTTTGTTTTCTTGTTCGTCTATCAAACTATCAACGTTAGCTCAGTTATAGAAGAGAGCAAACCTAGRCAGTGAATCGTATATTTCTACAAAGCTACAACCGGAAAGATCCGAGTGACGAAGTWTCCCGTACCATTTCTTTTGCAATAGTGAAGATTCATTGTTCGCAATTCTGATTGGACGTATGATATTTTTTCACTAGTGGAATGTTATCATTCGCGCTTTTTAAAAATATTTGGTCAATTTTAATTTTGCGTATCGTCTTTACCAAGAGAATTTCCTAGGAGTAAACCT